ATAAACCATAATACCAGGGGCTGGGAATGTGGCTCAGGCGGTAGCGTGCTCGTCTGGCATGCGTGCGGCCCGGGTTCGATCCTCAGCACCACATACCAACAAAGATGTTGTGTCTGCCGAGAACTAAGAAATAAATATTAAAAAAAAAAAAATTCTCTCTCTCTCTCCCTCCCCCCCTCTCTCCCCCTCTCTCCTCTCTCACTCTCTGTTTAAAAAAAAAAAACAAACCATAATACCAGTGTCATATATAATAAAATCAACACTATTTTTAAAATACAGATATCTAATCCATATTAAGATTTCTCTGGTGTCACCAAAATGTTTTTTTTTTTTTCTTTTTTCCCTCAGTCAAGAGCACATCAAGACTCTTGAATTGCCTTGTGTGGTGGTTTACACCTGTAATCCCAGCTCTTGGGGAGGTTGAAGCAGGATGATCACAAGTTCAAAGCCAGCCTCAGTAACTTAGACTATTTCTCAAAATAAAGAGAGATGGGGATAAGACTCAGTAGTTAAGCACCCCTGGGTTCAATCCCTGATACTCTCCACCCCCTGAAAAAAAAAAATTACAGTACTCTGAGTTAAAAAAACAAAAGAATGCTAGGAATAATTTTGCTGATATAATAGAAAAGCTTATATGAACATTAATCTGGCAAAGTAAGCTTGCTTGTATTGAATTGAAATAAAAGAAACAGGTAATTTTTAAAGTGCTTACTCTGTGCAAGATACTTTTTCTTTTTTTTTTTTTTGTTTTTGTTTTTTTGAGTTCAGAGATGATTCAGACATTATTTGTGCCCTAGAGCAGTGCTAGTCAGTAGAATTTTCTGTGATGTGGAAATGTTTTGTCTGCACTGCTTATATAGTGACTGCTAGGTATGTGTGGTCCTTTAGTAATGGAAATGGTGGCTAGTATAACTATGAGACTGGATTTAAATTCAACTAAAATGTTTTATGAAAGTTGAATTTGCCAGGCATGGTTGTGCATGCCTGTGATCCCAGTGACTTGGGAAACCAGGGCAGAAGGATTGCAAGTTTGAGGATATCCTCGGTAATTTAGTGAGATCCTGTCTCAAAATGAAACAAAAAGAACTGAGGATATATTTCAGTGGTTGATCCTCAGTATAAAAAATAAATAAATAGCTGGGATTGTAGCCCAGCAGCAGAGCGCTTGCCTAGCATGTGTTAGGCACTGGGTTAGATCCTTAGCAGCACATAAAAATAAATAAATGAGATAAGGGTATTGTGCCAATCTGCAACTAAAAATATTAATAAATAAAAAATGTGTATTATACATGTTTGTAAGGTTTTTAAAATATATTTTTTAGTTATATTTGGACACAATACCTTTATTTTATTTATTTATTCTTATGTGCTGCTGAGAATCGAACCTAGTGCCTCCCACATGCTAGGCAAGTGCTCTGATGCTGGGCTATAGCCCCAGCTCCATGTATCATACATTTTAATTTTTAAAAAATATTTATTTAGTTGTAGATGAACACACAGTATCTTTATTTATTTTTATGTGGTGATGAGGATTAAACCCAGTGCCTCACACATGCGAGGCAATGCTTTACCACTGAGCTACAACCCCAGCCCCTCATACATTTTAATTTTTTTTAGAGAGAGAGAGAGAGAGAATTTTTTAATATTTATTTTTTAGTATTTGGCGGACACAACATCTTTGTTTGTATGTGGTACTGAGGATCGAACCCTGGCCGCACGCATGCCAGGCGAGCGTGCTACCACTTGAGCCACATCCCCAGCCCACATTTTAATTTAAAAAAAAATTTTTTTTTAGTTGTAGATGGACACAATAGCTTTATTTTATTTATTTTTATGTGGTGCTGAGGATCGAACCCAGTGCCTCTTACGTGCAAGGCAAGCGCTTTGCCACTGGGCCACAATCCCAGCCCTACATTTTTTATTTTAATTCAATAATTTCATGTGTCTAGTGGCTAAAATATTAGGTATTTTAGCCTGAAAGTCTTATCTATTTTCAGAAGGTGATAGGATGTGAACATGTGAGAAATATGAGTTAGTAAGATATTTAAATAGCAGGCAGGGCAATAGAGGGGTATAGTACAGGGCATGTTTGATTTTCATGTTAACACTGCAGAAATGTAGGAGCATGCAAGGTCACTAAAAAAGGGTTTGTGTTAGGTTATCAAGTAAAAGATTTTTGTGAAGTTAAAAGATTCATATAATGGAGCAATGGCAGGTAGATTATTTGGGGCTAGGCTTCAGAAGGCTGTAAATGCCATATACCTAAATACTGAGCTGTTTGCTTGAAAGTAATAGAAAACCATTGAAAATGTTGAAAGCAGAAGAAAAGTAACATAATTGTGGTAGTGCTTTAAATATATTCATTTGGTGGGGTGTTAAATAATTGWGACACAAGTATGCTACAAGGATGGAATTTCAGTATGAAGAATGCTGGCTGGAGATATACTGAGATTCTACAGGAAGAACAGATATAGAAAAAAATTGGAAAACAAGAAAGGGTTTTTGAGAGATTGTGTTTTCAGGGGGAGAAGAGTATTTTTTTAATAATTAATATAATTGAGTTAAAGTGATGGAAAGTTGTTCAAGGCATATGTAGAGATCAAAGTAATAATAATCATGTATTGGTGCTCTCACCTCTCACCTATGTAGTACACAAATTTCTTAATACCCCTGGGCTTAGATTCCTTAGCTATAAAGTACCTGTCTCAGGGATATTGTGCAAAGTTCTAAGAATTTTGAATTACACCAGGAACAATTTTCTACTTATAAAGTATTTTCTCATGTGCTCAGTTGTAATGAATAACACCATACCCTCTTTGTCTATCAGAGTTGAAATTTGTACCTTACTTCCATATGTAGGTGTCAGCAAATCTTCGATTTTCTACCTCCTTACTTCTCTCAAATTTGTCCTGTTTTTTTGTTGTTGTTGCCCAACTGCAACATTCCTTGCTGAACAGTTTCTTGGTCTCTATTTAGTCTCATCCCCACTTCCTCTTCCCTTTCACTCTTGTCCTAGGAATCAAACCTGGGACTTCATGCATACTAAGTGAGTGCTCTGCCACTGAACTATATTCCCAGCCCTTTTTATTTTTTATTTTTGAGACAGATGTCATTAAATTGTTAAGGCTGGACTGAAACTTGTAATCCTCCTGCCTCAGCCTCTTGAGTAGCTGGAATTACAATTGTTCTCCACTGTATCCTGCTCTACTTCCTCATCTTTTATAGTCTCAAATATAAATTTAATCATGTTAATTCATTTAAAGTTCTTCCCATTAACTCTAGGCAAAATTCAAGTTTCTTAACTCTAACTTCTTGTACCCTCTGTCCCTGTAGCCTTCTCTCTCTTTATGACTTTCTTCCTTCCCCAGTCCTCACTCTTAACGCATAGAAATACACATAGCCCCAGGCTATAACAATCTATGTGTAGGTCTCTAAATGTACTATCACAACGCCCCCCTTTTCTATTTTTTGCAGTGTTCAGGATGGAACCCAGAACCTTATGCATGCTAGGTAACCACTCTACCACTAGATAAACCACTCTGAATGTACTTTGTTATACTGCATGCCTTTCCTTGTTTGTTTCTTCAGAAGTTTACCTGCCCACCATCTTCTTTATGTCCGGCAAATATTCGTTTTTCTTTCTTTTTTCTTTTTTTGGTACTGGAGATTTACCCAGGAGCGCTTTACCWCTGAGCTACATCCCCAGCCCTTTTTATTATTTTGAGACAGAGTCTCACTAAGTTGTTTAGGGCCTCACTAAGTTGCTGAGGCTGGCCTCAAAATTTTAATCTTCTTGCCTCAGCCTCCTGAGTCGCTAGGATTACAGGTGTGCACCATCATGACCAGTATGTTTCATTTTTAATGCATTTCTGGACACACAACATTGTTTTCTGTGATCTGTGTAATAGATATTTCTATTATCGATACAAGCATTAGACATTCTAGGTTCAAGAGTATATCTTAAATAATAATGCTTTAAAATACATGTGCTATTTGTTTAGCCACAAGACAGACAAAATTTATGTGATTTCATTTATATCTTTGGCAACTATTTATTCAGTCCTGGCTCTGGTGGCATTTACTGTTTAGCAGAGAAGCCATCCAATAAGTTTGACTAACATGCAAGTACATGTCTGTAGCAGAATGCCAGCTAGGGGCAAGTGCTTTTAAGAAGTAATCTTTTCTATATTAGAAACAGTTGTTTGGATAGGCCTAAGAAAATATTTAAGCAAGAGAAACCTGTGTGAAGTGAAAGCACTAGTCTTGGAGCTATCTGGAAGAAATACCTTCTGGACAGGGATCAGCAAATGTGGAGGCTTTGAGGGAGGGGCAACTTGGCCTGTTCAGGAGACAGCGAAGTGGCAGGTATGTCTGGAGCTGCATGAGCTAGGGTGGAATGATGAAGATGGGACTGGAGAAATAGCTGGGGGAGATCAGGTAGGACCTTCATATTTCATTCTAAATGTAAGGTAAAGTCTTCAGATGGTTTCTTGCTGGATAAAGTGATCTGCGTTAACCCTATGAAGAGAACAGACTCCAGATGTTCAAAACAAGAAACAGGGAGGTGAGTTAGGAAGTGGTGATCATAGACCTCCAGGTGAGAGATGGTGGTTGGCTAGCAGTGGAAGCAGGGCATAGTCAGATTTGAGTTATATTTTGAAGACAGAATCGACAGAATGTGTTGATTGTGATGTGAAAGAGCATGGTCAAGGATGACTTCAGGGCTAGTAGGTAGATACTGGACTTAACAGTGTTTGCAGAAGCTGTCTCTGAGCAATGACCTTATTAGGAACTTTTTCCTTCTTTTTTTCTTACCTGTGTTTACCAATTTTAAAAACTAAACCTTTAAAGCTTCTGTAATAAAAATATATAGATTATTTTAAAAATTAGAGTTAATAGTGTTACTAAGTGTAATCTAAATCTTAGTATATTCTCCCACCCCTTTTGATTTTAGAAGAGGGTTTACGTGACCAACTTAAATTTTGTTCTTTTACTTTTAGTGATTGATTTTTGTACCTTTTTCACGTTTGAAAATGGTGAAGCTCGATATTCATACTTTGGCACATCACCTCAAGCAGGAGCGCTTATATGTAAACTCTGAGAAACAGCTCATTCAGAGGCTCAATGCGGATGTACTTAAGACAGCTGAAAAGTTGTATCGTRCAGCATGGATTGCAAAGCAACAGAGAATTAATTTGGATCGGCTTATCATAACCAGGTAAAGAAAATATTTTCAGGTTAGAAATTCTGTGAACCACTGTAATGCTATGCTAATTGTAACTAACAGTCTATTTCCAGTCAAGTGCATGGTTAAAGATAGTTTGAATCAATGTTGAGTCTTTGCTTATAAAATAGTTTATTTTATTAAGTACTGCTTCAGAAAATTATAACTAAGGATTAACATTTTATTTTATTTTTAAAATATTTATTCACAATACCTTTATTTCACTCATTTATTTTTTATGTGGTGCTGAGGATCGAACCCAGGGTCCCGTGCATGCGAGAGGAGCGCTCTACCGCTGAGCCACAACTCCAGCCCCAGTATTAAGATTTTATACTACACTAATTAATTTTGTGTTTATACATATGATATTTTATTTTTGTAGAGAGTAAATTACCTTGTATTCTACTTTTCTCATAATGTTATTTAATATGTACACTTCCATGTTTTGATATTTTATATGTATATTTTAGGTTAGGAAACCACATATTTCGTTGTGTTAATCTCTCAATGTTTTGTTGTTCCAAGAAGCAGTTTTTAATTCTAAGAATAGGAATGTTGTCGGATACACACCTGTAATCCCAGCATCTCAGCAGACTGAGTCAGGAAAATCACAAGGTTGAGGCTAGCCTGGGCAATTTAGGGAGGTCCTGTCTCAAAATAAAAAGTAAAAAGGGCTAGGAATGTAGGTCAGTGATAGGTAGATTGCCCCTGGGTTCAATCCCCATAATTTCAAGGGGGGATGAGGAAGAATAATAGTGCTGAGGTATAATCTTAAAGAAGTCGGATATAAAAAAATTTCATTTTGAAATTCAAAAAGAGACAGGACTTATCTTTGATAATGGAAATCAGAATAATGGTTATTTCTTGGACTTGCAAGGATAGTATTGACTGGGAATGGGCATGTAAAAGCATTCTTTGGGTGCTTAAAATGATACATTTTGGGCTGGAGATATAGCTCAGTTGGTAGAGTGTTTGCCTCACATGCACAAGGCCCCACCAACACTGTACATTTTTTTTTTTTTTTTTTTTTTAGTTTGTTTTGCTTTGTTTTTGAGATGGGGTTTGGATATGTTGCCCAGGCTAGTCTCAGACTCTTGGGCTCAAGTAATCCTCCTGTCTCAGTCTCCCAAGTAGCTGGGACTACAGGTATGTACCATTGCATCTGACTGTTAACATCTTAATCCGAGTGTTGGGTGCATACATATATAAAAATCAAACAACCTACGCACTTGAGATTTAGGCACTTTGTTATATTTTACCTCAATAAAGGTAAGTTGGGGGAGTTTGTGCTGCTATAAACGTTGTTGTCAATTTTTACATCCTCTTGAAGGCTTATTTTATTAAGATTTGCTTCCAGAAGTAAAAATCCTGATTGAAGTATAGATTGCTGTTGAAAAAGGTTGTACAATATACCACACGTAGACTTAGTTTTGATCACTTTTTAGTACTTGAATTTTTTTTTTTTATATAAATGGACACAATACATTTATTTTATGTGGTGTGGAGGATCAAACACAGTGCCTCACACTTGGTAGGCAAGTGCTCTACCACTGAGCTACAGCCCCAGCCTAGTACTTGAATATTTGTACACTTTCTTGTGTTCATAACCATAAATAAGCAGTATTTAACTAGCAATTTTTTTTTTATCATACGGGGGATTGAACCCAGGAGTGCTTTACCAATGAGACATGTCTCCAGTCCCTTTTAATTTTTATTTTGAAACAAGTTCTCACTAAGTTGATGAGGACCTCACTAAGTTGCTGAGGATGGCCCTGAACTCATGATCCTCTTGCCTCAGATCCCTAAGCTGCTGGGATTACAAGCATTGCCACTATCCTGGCCGAATTTTTTAATTAATTTTTAAATTAATAGGGTGCATCTCTGGGCAATAGTTGTTAGAACCTTCAAATTGATATTTTTCATTGAGCTTGATTTTGTATGAAGAAATTAGACTCCTTTGTACTTTATAGTTTTATATTTACTAATTCATATGCTATTGTTCTAAAAGATTTTAGCAGGGTTGTGGCTCAGCTAGAGCACTTGCCTAGCATGCGTGAGCCATTGGGTTCAATCCTTAGCACCACATAAAAATAAATAAATAAAGATATTGTGTCCATGTACAACTAAAAAAATATATAAAAAAAAGATTTTAGCAGGTTTTAGTGATCTTTAGGTGGGGACTACAATCAACTCATAGTTTCATGTTTCTGTATAGTACATGTCTTATATTATTATTGCTATTGATATTATTTTGCTTATTTGCTTATTTTTTTAGTGCTGAAGCTTCCCCTGCTGAATGTTGCCAGCATGCCAAGATTTTGGAAGATACACAGTTTGTTGATGGTTATAAGCAGTTAGGATTTCAGGAGACTGCTTATGGAGAATTCTTGAGTAGATTAAGGGAGAATCCTCGTCTTATTGCCTCCTCTTTGGTTGCTGGAGAAAAACTTAATCAGGAGAACACACAAAGTGTTATTTACACAGTTTTTACCTCTCTATATGGCAATTGTATTATGCAAGAAGATGAAAGCTACCTCCTTCAGGTTTTGCGATACTTGATTGAATTTGAACTTAAAGAAAGTGACAACCCCAGGCGACTTTTGAGGAGAGGAACTTGTGCCTTCAGCATCTTATTTAAACTTTTTTCCGAGGGACTCTTTTCTGCGAAACTTTTCCTCACAGCTACTTTACACGAGCCAATCATGCAACTGCTTGTTGAAGATGAAGATCACCTGGAAACAGATCCAAACAAGTTAATTGAGAGATTCTCCCCTTATCAACAGGAAAAACTCTTTGGAGAGAAAGGCTCAGATAGATTTAGGCAAAAGGTTCAAGAGATGGTAGAATCCAATGAGGCCAAACTGGTGGCGTTGGTGAACAAATTTATTGGTTATCTCAAACAGAATACATATTGCTTTCCACATAGTTTGAGGTGGATTGTGTCACAAATGTACAAAACTCTTTCCTGTGTAGACAGACTGGAAGTCGGAGAGGTCAGGGCAATGTGTACTGATCTCCTCTTGGCTTGCTTTATTTGTCCTGCAGTTGTCAATCCAGAACAGTATGGCATAATTTCTGATGCTCCTATTAATGAAGTGGCAAGATTTAATCTAATGCAGGTATGCTTTTACTATTATTATTATTGTGGCATTTGGTTTTAAAATCAGTTGATTTGGGCAGGGGGGTGGGAACAGAGACTATGAAGACAGTGTTTATATATATATTCTTATCATTTCTTTTCCTCCAACTCTCCTAAGTATTTGCTTCTTATGAAATAAAAGCAGTCATATTGGGATTTAAAATAATGTAATCATTAAAAAATTTGGGTTTAATTTTAAAATGGAATCCTCACACTCTTTTTTTATATATATTTATTTTTTTGTTTTAGGTGGACACAATATCTTTATTTATTTTTATGTGGTGCTGAGAATCCAACCCAGTGCCTTGCGCATGCCAGGCCAGCGCACTACCACTTGAGCCACATCCCCAGCCCTTACAGTCTTAAATATATAGTTGATTCGATTTTCTGAGACAGTTCTACCATCTTGGTTCTATAATTTAAAAATCCAGAATGATTAAAAACTGAGAATGTCTTTTGTACTTCATTTGGTTGAGCAAAACCTGAACTGAACTAACACAAAGCTATTTAAAATTGGTATTCCTTTTATTATTGTTTATTATTATTTTTTTGCAGTGCTGGGGATGGAACTCAGGACCCTGAGTGTTAGGCAAGCACTCTCAGTCCTGATATTCCTTTTAGTGCTAGCAGATACTTGTTGCAGATATGTTAATGTGTTTAACTATAGGATGCCACCAGCCTATATACTGGATGTTCTGTATATATATACTAAATTACCTTTCGAAAATCTCTTAAATTCTGAAGTCTGAAGCTCTTTTAGCTCTAAGAGTTTCAAAAAAAGGGTTTTAATCATCTGAAGTATTGAAATTATGTTGTTTCTGCAGAAGATTTCCTTTTTATTTTGGTGCTGGGTGTTGACCCCAAGGCCTCATACATGCTAAGCAAATGCTCAGCATGTGCTCTACAAGTCTTCTAATAATTTTATCCCCCAAAAATACTGTGACAAAGAGATTTGGTTTATTTAGAATAGACTATCATTGGAATTTTTTTTAAGGTAGTAATAAGCCTTTTTTCACGATCAGTTTTATCATCTTGGGTATTTAGCAATTCATTATATAGAAATCCCTGAAATAAATTTTTAATTTTTTGTCTTCTGTAAATGTTACATGTTTCCTCATGATAGCATTTGTAATTTTATTTTCATCATTCTAGTACATACTGAATAGCATATTTCCAAAATGAGTGAAAAGAGGGTTATCCCAGATGCTAAGAAGATAAAGCCCTAATGATGTTAACTTTCTTTTTTTCTTTCTTTTTTTTTTTTTTAAAGAGGAGAGGGGGAGAGAGAGAGTGAGTCATTCTTTATAAATTATTTTAAAATTTTCCTTACACATGAAAGTACATTATGAGAAACAAATGTACTTTTAATTTTCTATCATGTTGATATGTTGTGTTAAAGAGAAATTATAGCAAAATTTTCTACTCCTCTTTATAACACTTAATCTGAAAATAGTAAAAGTTAACATAGACAAGATACACATTTTATAGGGGACACTATTTTGTATGCCTGGTTGGGTGAGTCTGAATGTTATTCTGAAATAGAATTTTAGAATAGAACAGGAGTACTTTCATAGAGCAGAATTCATAAGTATCTGTAGCCTGTGTCTGCCCACCACTGCTTTGGGTTGCAGGTTGGCCGCCTTCTGCAGCAGTTAGCAATGACTGGCTCTGAAGAGGGAGATCCTCGGACAAAAAGCAGCCTTGGAAAATTTGACAAAGTAAGAATTAATATTGTGCTATGTGAAATACTGTTTGTAGAAAATTCTGGCAAAGTATCATTGATCTTAACTTTTCTCTTTCTTAAATCTTGTCCTTAGAGGATGTGTAAACTAATAAATACAGTGGTTAATTAGCTTTTTAATTAGTTACAGTATTTGAATCAGCAGCATTTTAAATTTAGGAAGGGTTTTAGTCTGCTTTTTCGCTGCTGTGGCTAAAGGACCTGCAGCACAATTATAGAGGAAGAAGAGTTTATTTGAGGACTCATGGTTTCAGAGGTCTTAGTCCATACAAGATTGGCGTTCTATTCCTCAGAGCTTGAGATGAGGCAGAACATCATGGAATTTGTGGCAGAGGGAAGCAGCTCACATCATGGTGATCAAGAAGCAGAGACTCCCCTCTGGAGATACAAAGTACATATCGCTTAGCCATGCCCCAGTTCCTACCTCCTTCAGCCACACCCTATCACTTCAGTTATGTTATTAATCCCGATCAGAGATTGGGTCAAGACTCTTACAACCCAATCATTTCTCCTCTGAACCTTCTTCGAATTGACTTACATGTGAATTTTTAGTGGAATCTTCCTCATAACAGGAAGATTCCACTAAAGATTACTACTCTCCCTTACAGATTTATTGGAGAGATGTTGTTCTAATGAGAATGAAAGAACTATTAAGATTATTTTATTTTAAATTTTGCTAGCCAACCTATTTTAAATTTTACTAAACCAGCCAAATTGTGGAGGCTGGCCTCAAAAAATTATCACTAAACCAACCTATGGATATATCAATCAGCAAAAATCTTAAAATATTTAGTGTATTTCATAAATGAACATTTATAATATTATTCAGTTAGTTTAGTTTAAATAAAAATTTCACTGGTCAGATTTTGAGTAGGCTATTCATTCATCCTGGTTTTCAGTTCAAAGGTTATATTGTGAAATTTCCCTTTCACCTCTCATCTCCAACCTTCTTCTTCAAAATATTCTTGAAGTTATCCATTTTTGGTGTATCCTAAAGGTCTAGGTACATATGCTGTCCCACTCACCACCTCTCTCTCTCTTTCAGAAATGGCTTATGTAGACAATATTCCCTGTTATATTTGTTTTCCTTGCCTGAATATCTTGAGATTATTCTTTACCATTACATAAAGAGTTTCATCTTTTTAAATTGAGTTTAAAATAATTTTTATTAAATTAAACTTTTCTTTGCTTATGCTACCTTAATCAGAAATTTTGTTCCAGTATTTTAAAGGGGAAATTTTTCACTTTGATATTTTTCTGTTTTAACAGAGCTGTGTTGCTGCTTTCCTTGATGTTGTGATTGGGGGCCGTGCAGTGGAGACCCCTCCAATGTCCTCTGTTAATCTTCTGGAAGGGTTGAGCAGAACTGTGGTTTATATAACCTACAGTCAGCTTATTACTCTGGTAATGGCTTTATTCTTTTATAGAATTTTTCTCAAAATTATTTTAGCTAAGCATGCACAGAGTCATAGATGAGTACATTGTGTGAGAAATATAAATTATGTTTGAAAAATTGATTTTACTAGCCAGTGTTTTTTTACTTTTGCCAGGTAAATTTCATGAAGAGTGTGATGTCTGGAGATCAACTGAGAGAAGATAGAATGGCTCTTGACAATTTATTGGCAAATCTACCCCAGGCTAAGCCAGGAAAAAGCAGCAGTTTAGAAATGACTCCTTATAGTACCCCTCAGCTCTCCCCAGCAACCACTCCAGCAAATAAAAAGAATCGATTACCTATAGGTAATGAGACTTTCTCATATTGGAGCTTTTCCTTAAATTCAGTATTTCTTCATTAGCCCCTGTTATTGCTTTGTTTTAGAATATAGTTTTAAATACTTTGAAAAATTCTTTTTTTTCCATGTTTACTGATAGTATTTCAGTTTTTAAAAATTATACAAGATTAGTTAAGGTTTATCAGCAGTCTTTATCTAGACATAGAAAATGTCATTTCTTAAAAGTAATCATTATTTTAGTTAGGTAGCACTTTCCTTTCTTTAAAGTTCTAAATAATGTAATAATGTAATAAGTAATATTCTGTTAGAAGTTTGCATTAATTAGATGGAAAATAATAGTTACTGTTTCCATTATTTTCCTTACTAATCAGTCTCTTATCAGTTCAGCTAAAATATCTTAATGTTATAAAATAAAGCAAAAGTTTTACTTTATCTTATTTATTCATTTAAGAATTATGTTTATTAAGCTTTATTCACTTTGCAAACATTTATTATCCATCTACTTACATATACACAAAAATTAATTGAGCATGTAGTACCAGATACTAGGTAAGACATTTATAAATGTTATTTAAGCCATGGAAGCATCCTATGAGGACAGCTGATATCTACTTTGCACATGAAGCACTGTGTTAGGCCCTGGGGATAAAAAGCCCATTAGGACACACCCATACTCTTAAGTTAGCTGCTGATAGGTAGTTTGGAAGAAGAAGAAGGCCAGTGTGTTTCAAATTACTAAGGTGTTCTGCTGGAGATAAGCATGAGGATACTAATTTATCCAAATGGTGGTAGTATAAGAGAGGATCTTGAAATTGACACTCTCTCTTGAAGGATGAATAAAGTTAGAGTAAACAAGCAGGGAAAGTGTTTAGGAGCAGAGTATTTTGTAAGGATGAGGAGGTCAGCAACATGTAGGAATATGAGTAGCTGTTATAATTTATGCATTTTGAAGAATGGAATTTTATTTTTTAAACTTCCATTAAGAACAACTTCTTAAAATTAATCTATCTTACATTTAATATAATATGGAATTAGATCATCAGGCATACGATGTCAGATTCTTCAAGTCTTTGGTTTTCTGCATCTCAAAATGTCAGCTCTAGTTAAAAATAGAAAAAAAATAATATTTTTATACTTAGTAATCTTTAATAATATGGGCTATTTTTATTCTCTTAACATGAAGAACTACACAATTTTGGGTAAATAAAGAGACCCCCCCCCATTGTCTATTGCTGTGCATTAGTTTTTTTCATTTCCTACATCTGAAAGTGTCATTAAAATTGTGTTTAATGGAAAGGAAATTTAAAATATTTGCCCAGTATTGTTTTGTATAGCCACATGTCCTGGTCATTGCATTTATTGCATACTTAAAAAAAATGTATCTGTTCTTCAAAGGGCTGATATTCTTTCTATTTAATGTTTTCGCAACCCAGGACAACAGTTAGCAGCCATCACTGCCTGGGATTCCTCAGCCACCAATCTTACTGCTCATATTACACTAGTAACCCCATTTGGTGGGTAACAGGCTGTTCTTTCTCTTATATAACTTTTATTTAAGAAATAGTGTTTACAAGTATGTTCGGTGTGCATGTTGCTTTTGCTGTTTATTAAGTTGCTACTTGAAATTTGATTACTTGCATTTGTGTAAGTTATAAACTTTAAATTCATGGACTTGCTCATGAAGTTGAATTTAAGTTCACAATTCAGTAGAAGATTGTGAAAGACATCAAATAAAGCTGTGAATAGGCCTATTTTAGACTCTTAGAAATTGATATGTGTCCTAAAGTTTCATACTAAAAGTAGTGAATGAACTGATGTACAACATTCTGAATTAAAGACAATTGTTTATATTTCTGCCTCTTTCTGTCTTCGAGGAGGTCAGATTTTACTCAAGGTGAAGTTGAAAGATTTTTGTATCTATAAAGTGTTTTTGTTTTATGTGTGTTTTAATTATTTTGCAATGAAAGATAATTTCTATTTAGTATTCTGAATTTAATTTTCTTGCTCTGAGAAAAATGTAAACTTATCACAGAAGACTAAAACTCTTAGAAAACTTGTCATAAGCAATCTAAATGTTTTGTGTCTAAAAGTTCTTAAAAGATATGCTTGGGAGCTGGTGCGTTGGCACACACCTGTAATCCCAGCAGCTTGGGAGGCTGAGGCAGTAGGATCACCAGTTCAAAGCCAGCCTCAGGCACGGCAAGGCACTAAACAACTCAGTGAGACGCTATCTCTCAATAAAATACAAAATAGGGCTGGGGATGTGGCTCAGTGGTTGAGTGCCCTTGAGTTCAAACCCTGGTACCATTTAAAAAAAAAAAAAAAGTAGATATGCTTGAGAAGTATCTTACTGGTAGAGTACAAGGTCCTGGGTTTAGTCCCTAGTACCAGCCTCCCCAAAAAGTTCTTTTTTTTTTTTTTTTAAAGTTGGACACAATACCTTTATTCCATTCATTTATTTTTATGTGGTGCTGAGGCTCGAACCCAGGGCCCTGTGTATGCTAGGCAAGCGCTCTACCACTGAGCCACAATCCCAGCCCCCAAAAAGTTCTTAAAAGATATGCAGTTTTTTTTTTTCTGAAGTATTGTTTGTTTAATTATAGGTAAGGGAAAACAACAAAAAAATTGAATCCTTTACTTATTCAAAATGTTTCCATAAAGCAGAAAAGACCTCATAAAGACCTCATATTCAAAAATAGGAAGAGCTTCTCTTTTGCATCTCTGGAAAGTGGTTAATACATTTCGGAAAAAAAAATGTGCTTTCAAAAACTGTGGTTTTGTCTGTAATTGTATAAAGTATATTACTTTATATGATTATCATGTTTCCACTGAAAGTATTTCTTTACTTTTTATTTTTTTCCGAGTGTGTATTAAAGCCAGGGACACTTTACCTCTGAGTTACATCCCTGGTCCTTTTTATTTTTCTTATTTGAGACAGGGTGTCACTAAGGTTGCTGAGGCTGGCCTTGAACTTGTGATCCTCCTGCCCCAGTCTCCAGACTTGCTGGAATTACTCGCGTGTGCCACCACATCTAGCTCCACATGAAAGTTTCTAATACTTAAGTTCAGTTAATACTATGGGAAGCCTGTGGCAGTTAATCATTTTATAGGAAAAATAGTGAAGGTTTTCTGAAAAGAAATAAGGTAGTGCTCTTCTTGTTATCCAAAAGTCTTAATCAATAGGCATGTTTTGCTGGACTTCGGATGTGATCATATGTGGTACTCCCTGTCCAGTGGATCATTGTTTCTAATTATCAGTTTTGGAGGAGAATCTGTATGATAGTCATCAATGAAGTAATTGATTCTAATTTTTAGTTTTGTTTTGCTTCTTTTTATCCTTGTTTTCATYAGTCTTTTCTTTGTGCATGTGCAAATGTTTGACACTAAAACATTTTTTTTATTCATTGTGCTATTTTCTTTATTCTGACTTTTTGTTTAAATTATTTGGTTTTATTTGAATTGTTAGCAACTCGGAGCAGAAGCCGCACTAATATGCTAATGGACCTACATATGGACCATGAAGGATCATCTCAAGAAACCATCCAGGAGGTCCAACCAGAAGAAGTGTTGGTCATTTCTTTAGGGACAGGTCCCCAGCTTACTCCAGGGATGATGTCAGAAAATGAGGTATGAATCTATGGCTATAATTACTTAACAACTATTAATATTAAGAAATTTAATTACTTTCTTCAAATTAATGGTCACTTGCTTCAATAAATCAATATTTATATGTTAGTCTGTTCAGGCTGCTATAACAAAACACTAGAGATTGGATGGCTTATCAATAATAAATTTATTTCTCAGAGTTCTGAATGGTGGAAATTCTGAGATTAAGGTAGATTCAGTGTTTTATGAGTCCAATTCCTGGTTCATGGATGGTGCCTCTGCACTGTGTCCTTACATGATGGAAAGGGCAAATGAACTTGTTGGGCCTGTTTTTTTTTTTTTTTAGAATTTCAATATTTATTTTTCAGTTTTCAGCAGACACAACATCTTTGTTGGTATGTGGTGCTGAGGATCGAACCCAGGCCACACACATGCCAGGCAAGTGCGCTACCGCTTGAGCCACATCTCCAGCCCCTTGTTGGGCCTGTTTTACAAGGCATGAATCCTATGCATGATCCAGTTGCCCACCCAGAGGCCCCACCTCCTAATACTTACATCATCTTGTTAGGTTAGGATTTTACCATATCAATTCTGGAAAAACTTTAAAGTTTTATTTAATATGTAATGTATTTAATATGTATTAATATGTGTTCTTCATTATCTGTAATGGGTCTACTGATGACACATAATCAGAGGCCAAGCTTGTTAAAAACAGTTGCAGAGGGAGCCCTTCACATTACATACATCTATGGCACTGAAGTTACTGAACAAACCCACCTCAAAAGGAATTTTCCTAGTAGTAGAAGAGCCAGGAATCCAAGAAATTGTGGTGTGGAAATTGAAGAGACTTTTCCAGTGGTTTGTAGAAAATGATCTGTATTTATTTATTTATTCATCCATCTATCCATTTATTTATTTATTTTCTGGTGGTACATTAGTGGTATTCCTGCTTTACAGAGCTAAAAAGTCTTCCTTCTCCCATCCCAGTACTGGGGATTGAATCCAGGGGCAATGAACCACTAAACTACACACCCAGCCCTTTTAATTTTTTATACTGAGGCAAGATTGCTGAGGCTAGCCTTAAATATGCAATCCTCCTGCCTCATCCTCCCAAGTAGCTGGGATTACAGGTATGCTCCATCATGTCCATCTTTCTTGGTTTTCTTTTCAGTTATCTCTTCCATTTTTTTCCTGATCAGCCAAAGAATAGAAAGTATACCTCAAGAATTTTTGTCTCTGCTAGCTAGAGTTATACACCTATAATCCCGACTACTTGGGAAATTGAGCCAGGAGGTTCACAAGTTTGAGGCCAGTCTCAGAAATACAGTGAGACCCTGACTCAAAACTCAGATTAAGAAATAGTGCAAGTATAGTTCAGTGATAGAACATTCAGGTGCAAGGCCCTAGGCTCAGTCCATAGTATGTGTGTGTTTGGTCGGGGGACTTATAACGACAGTGGAATGCTTAAGTAAGAAAAAAAATTGTTTTATAAGAGACCTCTGTGACATTTTACCTCACCCAATTACCATCCCCATCCCCAATTCAGTGGCTGCCTTGAAGAGAGCAGCTTGTGTTCGTTCTTGTGCAGTTTTTTAGTGTCTAAGAGAGCAATATGGACCTTATTTTCAAAGAATCATCGTTGTGAGTTTTATCTCTCTGGTGGATCCTTCAATGATCAGCTCAAGGGCTTGCTTTTGTTTCTCCTACCTCTGATGTTCCCCAGAGCTGTAGCACTTTCACAGTTGGCATTTGTCAAAAGCATGGAGAGGCTGAGGATGTAGCTCAGTTGTAAAGTGTATACTTAACAATGCACGAGGCCTTTGGTTCAATCCCTATCACCACCACCAAAAAAGAAAAAAAGCTTCAAAAGCAGCAGAGAGATGAAAAAGCTGAAGTAAAAGGTCAGGGAAAGAGATAATATGAGATATAGGGCATTGAAAAACTCTCATGATCCAGGGACTGGAAGGCTATAAATACACTTGTGAAAGACTATAGAAGACTACCAGCAGATGGTGAAGGGTAAGATATATTTGCAGACTGTCTGGTTAAGGGTGGAAGAAGCACCCAATCAAAGCCAGTTTGCAGTGACTTGGGAAGGTTTTCAGTTGTTTTTGTTTTGTATTCCAGGTTTTATATCTGCCAAATCACTTGCTGACCACTAAGCTAACAGAATGGACCTCTGTGGTCACACATGACATGACACAGACAAAGAAAGACTGAAGCTTTCTAATCTATAGTCTTACTTACTGTTCATCCTGTGTCTCATTATTTAATCTGTGGCACTAGTGGAGTAATGGAAAGGCATAGCTTCCATTGTTTCAACTGATAGACTTTTAAAAAAATAATGTTATTATATTTTTAATACCTTTATTTTATTTGTTATATATATATATGGTGCTAAGTGTCTCATGCATGCTAGCAAGGCTAGCCCTCAACTGATAGACTTTTTGTACATGGGATTTAAAAGCTTGTAGAGCTGGGTACGGTGTACAGTGGTGCATGCCTGTAATCTCAGTGGCTTGGGAGGCTGAGACAGGAGGATCAAAAGTTCAAAGCCAGCCCAGAAAAAAATGAGGCACTTAGAAACTCATTGAGACCCTGTCTCTAAATAAAATACAAAATAGGACTAGGGATGTGGCTCAGTGGTTGAGTGCCCCTGAGTTCAATCCCTGGTACATCCCATCCCAAAAATACTCTTTTAAAAGCTCAATAGACATTATAAATGAGTTTTAGTTAAAAATGGTGATTTAAGAAGAACTGAAATATGAATTTGCTGTGGTTTATTTTATTAGCAGTCTTTAATTTGTAATAAACCAAAGTTGATGTTTTGTTTTTCAGGTCCTAAACATGCAGCTTTCTGATGGAGGACAAGGAGATGTCCCTGTTGATGAAAACAAACTCCACGGTAAACCTGATAAAACCTTGCGCTTTTCCCTCTGCAGTGATAATCTGGAAGGCATATCTGAAGGTGAAGGGTTACTTCATTCAAGGAGTTGTGTGATTCAAGTAATACTTTGTTTTGTGTTCTTTAAAGGAGCCTTATAAATTATAATATACCATCTGTGCCTCTCACTGAGGAGAGTAATGAAATTTTCCTCCAATGAGCTTGAACAGTTGGCTGTAAAGATTGTATCCTGAATAAAATCAAGATTGCAAGAGGCTGTTGGTCATATAAAATGAAGAAGATATAAGTCTTTATTTAGACTTAAATAGAATAATAGCAAGTTTTGTTTCTCAGTATAAATATATACCAAAGCTTATAGCGCTCCTTTAGAAGGATATAATGCATGTACACATGGGGAGAAATGGACTAACTAGTATTTCAGGATGTTGTATATACTTTTAATGTTCTGCATTCCTCTGTTCACATACACCTTCATAAAGTAGGAAACAATGGAAATAGGAATTAAAAAAGAAAATTAAAAGCTAAGATTGTTAAGTGAGAATATGTCATTCTACATATTAGGACAAATTTTCTTTTTTAATGAAAAGAAGCCCAAGTTTGCTAACATTTAAGAATAAATGTAGGGGGATAGAGTTATAGCTAAGTGGTAGAGCACTTGCCTAGAATGTGTGAGGCACTGGGTTCGATCCTTAGCAACACATAAAAATAAATAAGCAAAATAAAGGTATTGTGTCCATTGGCAACTAAAAGTATTAAAAAAAAAAAAAGTAAATATAGGGCTGGAGTTGTGACCCAGTGGTAGAGCGCTTGCCTTGAATGTATGAGGCACTGGGTTTGATTCTTAACACCACATATAAATAAAAAAAATAAAGGTTCATCAACAATTAAAATAAATAAATAAACTTTAAAGAAGTAATCGTAATTATTTCTCCTTTTTTTCTAACTTTTCAAAAGTAATATAGAACATATTCAATTTACTTATTTATTTTTAATATCTTTTTAAAAAATGTTGATGGACTTTAATTTTATTCATTCATTTATTTATATGTGGTGCTGAACATCAAACCCAGTATTTCACACATGCCAGGCAAGTGCTCTACCACTAAGCCACAACCTCAGCTTCAATAACATATTCATTTTAGAAAAGAGATCTAATCATCTATAATCTTACCATTCTGTTAATATTAGTTAGCACTTTGGCTTATTTGTAGCAAGAAAATGATAGTTCATAACCTTTTTTGTTTAATAATATAGCATTAACATTTCCTTTTGTAATTTTACATTCTTGAATAAATGATTTCAAATGGCTTTTTTCTCTAACTTCAAATGGGCACATGATAATTTATTTCAACATTCTTAGTAAATGAGTGAATTGTTTCTACTTTTTAGACATTATAAGTTCTGCAACAAGCCATCTTAGATTATTTTTTTGGGGGTTGGGAGGGATTAGAGATTGAACCCAGGGATGCTTTACCACTGAGCCACATCCCTGGGTCTTGCTAAATTACTAAGGGTCTTGCAGAGTTGCTAAGGCTGGCCTTGAACTTGTGATACTCTTGCCTCAGTCACCCAAGTCACTGTGATTAGAGGCTTGCACCACACCCTGCTTAATTTTTGATTAGTTCCTTAGGATGAATTCCTAGATGCAGAATTGCTCTCTCAAAGGGCATATATATTTTTAAGAACACTTGAGTATTTAGTCTCTTATCAAGGCATGAAAATTGCATGGTGACTCATGAATGTTTTAAAGATTGCTCATAGGGTAAACATTTCTCTAGGTCCTTCAAATCGGTCCAATTCAGTGTCCTCTCTAGACCTGGAAGGAGAGTCTGTATCAGAACTTGGAGCAGGACCTTCTGGGAGTAATGGAGTTGAAGCTCTACAGCTCTTAGAACATGAACAAGGTAAGGTGAAGTTGAACACAGTTGTACAAGTAGAAAAGAATTCACCTGATTGCAAGGTGAGCAATATGTTTACATAGAAGTTGCCTGTGTTCACTAAGAGAGTAAATTTCATTACATAATGACTGTTAAACTTGTATTTATTCGTGTTCCTTTATTTTTTATTTTTTTAAAGAGAGATTGAGAGAGGGAGAGAGAGAGAATTTTTTAATATTTATTTTGTAGTTATTGGCGGACATAACATCTTTGTATGTGGTGCTGAGGATCGAACCCGGGCCGCACGCATGCCAGGCGAGCGCACTACCGCTTGAGCCACATCCCCAGCCCTCCTTTATTTCTTATAAAAATATGTTTAAATTGTCAGGCTGGGGTTGTAGCTCGGTTGTAGAGCACTTGCCTTGTATGAGTGAGGCGCTGGGTTCAATCCCTAGAACCACATAAAAAAACTAAACAAAATAAAGGTTAAAAAAAATGTTTAAATTGTTAAGTGAATTGTTTAGGTTCAAATTACATACACCAGTAGGAATTATTTTTAATTCAGTTATATTATCTCAATTCTGTCATACTTAAGGGACATGACAATAAATACTCAGGGCTCAAGGAATTTAGAATAGGGCAAAAATGGTACGCAAATGATTGAACATATGGGAAGACTGTTTTGGTCATTGAGGTATAGATAAAAACATTGGAAGAACACACTAGCCTAAAGGCCAGTGACAGTGGGTAGGAGTAGGAAAGAGGACCAGTATACAAATAATTAAAAGAAGTGAAGCCATAGTGCTTACTCAGGTGTTAAGTAGAGCAATGAGTGAGGAGGTAAAGATTTAAAAATGGGCAGATCCCCATTGAGAGATCTGGAGAGGAGGAAGTCTATACCTGAATTGAAACTTAAAAACATTGAAAGTTTTTGGTTTAATGAAGATGAGGGGTTGTGGGGGATATATTCTAGTGCTTTAGGGAAGATTAATTTGAAACATTTTTTTGGATTTGTTCATTGTAAGATTTCTAGTTTAGGGCACTTACCCTGAAGTAGGCTGGAGGCAGTGATTCTTAGACTTTAGTGTACATTTAAAAGTTTTTATTTCCCAAGCTTTACTTCTAGAAATCCTGCTTCAGTTCATTTTTTAAAAAATCTTTTGTAGTTGCAGGTGGACATAGTACCTTTATTTTACTTATTTTTATGTGGTGCTGAGGATCGAACCCAATGCCTCACATGAGCTAGGCAAGTACTCTGCCACTGAACTACAGCCCCAGCCCCTGGTTTAGTCTATGTTTAGAAAAGAAAAGAATGTTGCCATTTGACTGTGTGGCTTGAGTAGAAGCATTGCTGTGTTTTATAGGATCAGTTCATCAATGTATCAATTAAGATTAAATTTGCTGCAAATAACAGAAAAACTTAAGATAATATTAGCTTATGACAAGCTGAATGAACATTATCTCTTTAACAAGCTTTCTGGGTGATCTGGATGTAGGCAGTTGGCAGTTTACATTTTGTGAAATTCTAAGAAGTGAGTTGACACAAGGCCGTAGGTTCAGTCCAAATCTCTAGCACCAAAAACAAAAACAAAGAAAAAAATGTGAATTGAGGAAAATTGGTCTGTGTAGGAATGAAAACTCTAGAAAGTAAATAGCAATTATCCAAGCCAAGTGAAAAACATTTTTAGTGTGTGTTTATCAGCTAATTATTACTACACTAATCTTGCACAGTAAACCACCTCAAAACATATATTTTTGCTCTTAGATCTGGGTCAGCTGGTTGGTTTTTCTCACTTGCATTGGGCTCACTCAGACATCTGTAGTCATCAGTGGTGGTGGCAGGGAGCTCTGCTAATCTTAACTAAGGATCAGTTGGTCAGTGGGAAACAGACTGGCCCAATTAGGTGTAGAATGGTATGGTAATACATGCCTAATAATGATAAAATATGTAACTTCAAATTCAAATATGTAAAGTTCTTTAAAGTTGATTAAAATGTTAATTAAAAAATCATAGCTGTGCTTCCATTGTCAAAGTACTTAATTCTGTTTTTGTTAGCTACGACACAAGATAATCTTGATGATAAGCTAAGGAAGTTTGAGATTCGTGACATGATGGGACTAACAGATGATAGGGACATATCAGAAACAGTGAGTGAGACCTGGAGTACAGATGTCTTGGGAAGTGACTTTGACCCTAACATCGATGAAGATCGCTTGCAAGAAATTGCAGGTAACTGCTATTCAGTGTCTCTGGAAGATTACTACTGAGTTATTCAGATTCACCCACCCTTCATGGATTAGAGTGTTAACACAAATGTGTTAGCACTAACTGGGAAACTGGTTAACTATATGGAATGAGATGTTTGGCTACTTTTTTCTTTATCTAAATATAGGTAGTGTTTTTCCTTTCTGCATTTAATCTCCTGGCCCCCCATTATTTGCAGATCTTTTGTGATTTATCTTTAAAACGTAACTTCACTTGTAACTTCTTCTTTTCTTTTTCCCCTCATTATTGGGAATGGAATCCAGTGCCTGATCATGCTAGGCAAGAGTTCTACACCTGAGCTCCATCCTAGCCCTTTTGATTTTTATTTTGAGACAGGGTCTTTCTAAGCTGCCCAGGTTGGTGAACTTGTGGTCCTCCTGCCTCAGCCTCCCAAGTAGCTGAGATTATAGACATGCACTTGCTTTCAAAATATTTTCATGTAGGGAATAGAATCATTATTTTACTAGGTTTAATCAAAAGTATGGAGCATTCTCTTCTTGAGTATTTTTAACACAGGCATACAATAATATTTAATTCTATTTGTATTCCTAAATAGTGTAAATAGATTTCTTAATTGGTTTTGCACTACTTTGTTCCAGATGCCAAAGTAGTAGTATTCTTGGCAGTAAGCTGTATTTGAGCAATAAGCTATATTTGCAGTTGAGTGAGTAGTATAAAGGAGCTGTGTATTTTTCTGCAAATATATTTTTTTGCTCTGAATATGTGACTGTTGTGCCAGAAGAAAACATATTGGGCCAGTATAACTTTCTGTGGTTAAATCTATTTGTTTGAGTGTTTGTAATCCCTGTAGGACTATAAATTTTAGAAAGCACTTTAGGACACATATAAAATTTGCTGAAATACAAATTTGTTTTCTCTGTGGAGGATCAAGGCTGAGCAGGAGGAACCTGATGAACAGGAGTTTGTGCCGTTGTGAATAGAGTAGGAATTTCGTGTTGTTAGTAGTAGGCCCAACTGAAACCACTCTCATCTTGGCTTCTTTTTTGTGGGTAGAAAACAAAGTTTGCTTGCTTAATATTTTTCCTTCCCCCAGCATCACTGCCTCTTGTCAGATCTCTCTTCATATTTTGCTCCCCACTGATCACACAGGTGCAGCCGCGGAGAACATGTTAGGCAGTTTGCTGTGCCTCCCAGGTTCAGGGTCAGTACTTCTTGACCCCTGCACTGGTTCTACCATCTCAGAGACAACAAGTGAAGCTTGGAGCGTAGAGGTACTACCAAGTGACTCAGGTTAGTATGCTATCATTGTTTGCTTTTTCATTTGCACAGAAGTTTTAAATGTAAGGTTTCCTAATTTCTATGTTAGATATATTATGTCAAATGTGCACTTGACAAGTAATCACGTTGCTAAGAATTTCAAATGGAAAATTAGAGTTTTTTTCCTCCCATTAAGAAAAGACATGGAAATTGTGCTCTGTATGTGTAATATAAATTGTAATGCATTCCGCTGTCATTTATTTAAAACAAAGTAAATAAATAAAGACACTGTAGTAAGCTAAAAAAAAAAGAAAGAAAGACATGGGGTTGGGGCTGGGGCTCAGTGGTAGAGCGCTCGCTTAGCACATGCAAGGTCCTGGGTTTGATCCTCAGCACTGCATAAAAAAAATAAATAAATAAAAATAAAGGTATTGTGTCCAACTACAACTAAAATAAAATATTTTTTTATTGGTTGTTCACAACATTACAAAGCTCTTGACATATCATATTTCATACATTAGAATCAAGTGGGTTATGAACTCCCATTTTTACCCCAAATACAGATTGCAGAATCACCTCGGTTACACATCCATTATTTTTACATACTGCCATATTAGTGACTGTTGTATTCTGCTACCTTTCCTATCCTCTACTATCCCCCCTCCCCTCCCCTCCCATCTTCTCTCTCTAC